AAACAGAAAATATCGAGAGTACAGAACATGTTTTTTTCTAAGACGGCCAACGTGGCGCAACATTGCCTCCAAATCGGCCCCAAACGTCTCCAATACGGCCAAGACGGCCTCAAGAGAACCCGAGATACCTCCAAGATGGCCCAAGATAATCCCAAGACGGCCGAAGACGGCTTCAAGACTGCCCAAGAGGGTCCTAAGACGGCCCAAGATGGCTTCGAAAGGCCCCCAAGACGCCAACCTCTTTGAATTTTCTGTGGATTTTCGTGCTCTCGCCTTTTCGGGCTTCCGACAGCCGAAGGCAGCCCAACAGGCCTCCAAGATGAGTCCTGGACTGCCCCAGAAGCCTCCAGAAGGGCCCCAAGATGATCGGCCAAGAGGGTCCCGAGACGGCCCAAGAGGCTCCCAAGACGGCCCCAAGAGGGCCCCCAGAGGGCCCCAGAGGCATGAAAGTCAGCCCTGAAGCGTCCTTCGAGGCCCCCAAGACCGCCCAGTGGGGCCCCCGAGATAGCCTCCGACGGCCCAGAGGTCCCCCAGAGGCGCTCAGAGGCTCCTAGAGGCTCCAGAAGGCCACCAAGACTTCGGTCAGAGGCCCCCAGGAAGCCCCCAGCAGGCCCCCACGAGGCCTCCTCTTCCTCCTGTTTACCTGTTTACCGGGTTATCTACCAGTCTCTGATACCCCGCTGCTTCTGTGCAAGTTAAATATGTGCCTCCTCTTCCTCCTCCTCCTCTTCCTCCTTCCTCCTCCTCCTCCTCCTTCTCCTCCTTCTCCTCCTTTTCCTCCCTCTCGTCCTCATCTCTCTCTTCCTGCCCCAAGTGTTCCCCCCAATGGTTTCCACAACGACTAGGGGAACACACAGCCCAACAGTTTGGCCACATCGGCGTTTACAAAAGGCAAGGGGCGGCGGTGGTTCGCCGTAGGCACCCTCGATACATATATATATATATATATACATAGAGAGATATACACAAATATCACTCCCTCTCTCTGTACGCCTTCCAAACTAATTCGCCCACCTCTACGCCAACCTCGGCCGAGAACCCATTCGGGCGCGCATTACGGCGAAACTCACACGTGCGGAACCAATTCGAATATACCGCCAACGGTTTCTCTGGTTCCAAGACCGGTCAGTAACCGGTCCCCTGGAAAGACGACCTCGACTCGCGCGTGCAACATGGCCGCCAGACGAACTGCTACCTGACTCTTCCGAAGAACTTCGGCGGGCGCTGTCGTCATTTGGCAAAGAGCCTCCCCAGTGAGAGTAACAAAAGTACTTGACCTACCATCAAAAGAAGCTTGAAGGACGACTGTCGGCGCAATCTGCATGTAGGTCAATAAACCCTTCAGCGCGGGGAAATCGCACTGCCCGAACTGGTTGTACCCGCAAGGAACGGCCGACCCCTCGCTCCGGAGCGGAGCCGTGTGCGCCCCGCCCGCACGAACATGGACATACGTATGTGAGTGCTGCTTCTAGCGCAGGGACGTCGCACTGCCCGAACTCGTCATAACCGCAAGCCACAACTGTCCAGTCGCTGCGCAGCAGAACCGTGTGGCTGTCGCCAACGGCTACCTGGATGTAGTGCCCGAAACGGTTGTGGCCACAAGCCACGATTGTCCCGTCGCTCCGAAGGAGCAAAGCCGTGTGCCCCGCGTCCGCGGCAACCTGGACATAGATCAGCCCCCCTTCGCAACGGTGGGGCGTCGCACTGCCCAAACTGGTTGAAGCCGCAAGCAACGGCCGTCCCGTCGCTCTGAAGCAGCGCCGTGTGCGCCCCGCCCGAGGCAACCTGGACGCAGGTCAATGCCCCCTCTGGGGCGGGAACGTCGCACTGCCCGAACTCGTTATAGCCGCAAGCCACAGCTGTCCCGTTGCTACGCAACAAAACCGTGTGGCCGTCGCCGGCAGAAGCCTGGACGTAGGCCAGCGCTCCCTCTAGCCCGGGGACGTCGCACTGCCCAAACCCGCTGTGGCCGCACGCCACGGCCACCCCGTCGCTGCAGAGCCTTGCCGTGTGCAACTCGCCGACAGCAGCCTGGATGAAGGAGTGCGCCCCTTCGAGCGCGGGGACGTCGCATTGTCCGAACTCTTTGTGGCCGCAGGCCACGGCCGTCCCGTCTCTGCGGGGCAGAGCGGTGTGCAAACCGCCTGTTGAAGCCATCCTTCCGGGCACGGGAGTCAGGGGCAACTCGGCCCCAGGCTGGGGAGGGGGGGGGGGCGAAACGGCTGCGCGGAACGAGGGGGGGTCCAGAGGAGGGGAGGTGCACGAGGAGAGGGAGGGATGGCGGATGGGGAGGGCAGTGGGGCGACGAAATCCGAGGGAGGAAGCGGGGCAGGGCGAGAAAGGGATGGAGGGCAGGGGCGAGGGAGAGAGGGGGGGGGGCAGGGAGGCACGACGCTCGGCCTGGTGCGAGGGCGAGCATGCACAACTGATGCTGCGCCTCCCGCTCCACCGTGCCGAGATCACCGGAGACCTCCAGAGGCCCTCCGAGATCCCTCCAGAGGCCTCGGCCAGCCCCCCCAAAACCGAAACGCTCAAGAAGCTCGATCCTCAAACGTCGAACCTCGAGGAGGGCGGGGGGGGGGGGGAGTGCGTACAGTCGGGCCGATAAGGCCGTGGCCAGTTCGGGGAGGGTACCCTAATGTTCTTCGTGTTTGTTGGATGTTCCTGTGCATCCTGGGGGAGAGAATCCTTGAATGTGTGTTCGGGTTGGCCGACGAAGGGTCTCATGTTCTGGAAGGGTGTTCACCTGTCCTAGGTCTGGCCGTAGTTGATAGCTGGGTCACCCCCAGAACTCGGAAATCGGACCTGCAGCTGTCGCTGGCCAGGGCGTCGTAGGTGGGCACCGTAGCGCCAAGCATGTGCCACCCCCAAGCCTCTGACGAATTGCCCAAGAAACCTGGCCCCTTCACTGGGGACAATGTTTCGTCCCGGACCCATTTTCAGCCCTGGCCAAAGCCCCGTTCACGGGGACTCTGACAAACCAGGACATAGGACATTGGCATGCCAGGAAAAATGCAGACGTGGGTCGAACCGTTCCCCCATTCTTTGCTCCTTCCCTAGGTTCCAGGCAAAGGGGGTCTTTCGTAATGGGGTCGCCGGCAACAAAAATGCAATAGTTCATCCTGTGGCGCATGGCGCGTGGCAACCACGTGCTGATATTCTACGACGTGCGCATCCCGCACGAACGATTGCACGAACCAAAGCGTACATGTTTGAAACCCCCTCTGCAAAGGACCCACTAACCCGAATCCGACTCGCCCCCGAACTCTAGACCACTTCCACAGGACCAAGTTTTCATCCCGAAGTATTTTTGACGGTCCCGAGGCCAGGCAAGGGTCCCGAGAGGCCGAAAACTATGAAAAACCTGTGCCTCGATTTTTTCGGGACGATCGATGTCTGGGTTCTTTGCTTCCTCCTGCTGGCTCCGGTAACGTCCTGGGTTGCAATGTCGTGGTTTCCGGGACTCGGCGGCGAGCGCGGGGGGTAAGTGAAAAGGAGAAGGCCTTCTCAGAAAGCGGCTGGGCCTCTCAGCAGTCAGAAGTACTCGCGCCTTCTGAGAGGTCTTTTCTGTCTTGGGGGAAGGCTCAGAAAACTTCTCAGAAGGCAGGGGGCAAGGCAAGGGAACTTCCGAGCCTTCTGATAAGGCCTTCTTCCTTCTCGCTTCCCCCCCAGGCTCAATGCTGAGGGGCCCTGCCCCGTGGGGGTCCAGGGTGACCCCAGAACGGCCCAAGGGAACCCCAAGACGGCCCTCAAGACGGCCCAAGAGGACCCTCAAGAGGGCCTCCAGAGGTAAACATCTTGGTTCAATTTCAACAGATTTTTCCGCTCTCGCCTTCTCGGGCCTCCGACACTCCAAGACAGCCCCAGAGGCATCCAAGATGGCCACAAGACGGCCCACGAAGCCCCCAAGAGGGCCCAGGACGACCCAGGAGGGCCCTACAGTGGCCCAAGGATAGCCCCAAGACGGCCAAAGAGGGGCTCGAGGTGGTCCAAGAAGGACCCCCCCGCAAGACGGCCCCTGGAGGCCCAAGAGGGCACCACAAAGGTCCAGAGTGGCCCCCAGGACGGCCTCCGAAGACCTCGCGAAGTGAGAGGAATCCACGGATCGGGGGAAATAGCCCCGAGACATGAGGTCGATGCCGCCTGATCTGGCGACAGAGCGCGCCGAATGCGTACGGAACCGGGACCTGTCGCTAAATGTCGCGAATCCGCGCGCCTGAATCCATGTTTGCGCTTCCTTGACTCGATCGGGCTGACCGCCGTGCCGCAGATCTCGGCGGCGGGCCCAAGGGAAGTGAGAAGGGGTCGGGCCTTCTCAGAAAGGCTCGGAAGGCCCCCCGCCCTCACGAGAAGTTCCCTGAGCCTGCCCCAGAGACATCCGGAGACACACAACACTTCTCAGGAGGCCAAAGGGCCTAGCGAGAAGTCCCGTCGCCCTTCTGAGAAAGGCCAGCCTCCCTTCTCACTCCTCGGGGGAGCGCAAACATGGGTTGGCGACCCATGGGTCTGGCGCGCGGTCGCCAAATCCATGGATCTGGGGAGGTTCCCTCCCCAGAATGCGGCCGGTGCCGCCTCGCTCGGCGGCGGAACTCCGCGACCCCCCCTTTGAAACGGGACCCGCAGCTTAATCCACGCCCCCTTATCCGGCTGGTCGCGGCATTTTCCTTGATCCCGCGTCGAGCTTGCTAGACGCATGCTTTTGCCCACGCGCCTACTGGCGTATGGCTTCCGATCCGATCCGATCCCTTGATCCATGTCTGCGATCGCCTGACACGGGCGCGCCGCCGAAGATCGTCTCGGACGTCCTGCGCTCCCCCCCATTACCAGCCTGGAACATATCGCTATCCCTATGCTGGACATCTCCTCATCACGATGTCAATCTTAGGGATTCCCTTATTTTTTGAGGGCGAATCCCTAAGATTGTCATCGCCTTTTGGCGTGTCAATCTTAGGGATAGGGATACGCTCGAGGCCGGTAACCCCAGGAGGGCCAGGGGGGGCCTGGTGGACATCTCGCCGTGGTGCCCCGCGCTGGCCTGGGGCGGGCGCGGGGCGCGGGCCCCTCGGGGAGGCGGGGGCGGGTCCGCGTGTGCGGGTGCGGGAGCGGGTGGGGGGGACGAGGGCGGGGGGAGAGGAAGACGATGACGGCGAAGGAGGAGGAGGAGGAGGAGGAGGAGGAGGAGGAGGAGGAGGAGAGGAGCAGGCGAAAGTGATTTGTTGATTTGAACTTCGCCGTGAAGCCACGCCGCTGCCGCTATCGCCGCCTCCTGCTGTTCTCTGCCGTCGCTGCCATCTGCCCCAACGGTGCGGGGCCCGTGCTCTGCCCCGGAGGTCACGCGTGAACGAACGAGGAGGGCGGAGATCGGGCACGCGCCAACGCGGATTGAGGATCTGCGGATCTGGCGCGAGGGTGCCAAATCTCGCACGCACGAGATTATCCGGGATAACCGCGGTCCGGGGTAACTCCTGTTTGGGCCCCCAAGACACAAACCCGTAGCTACCCCCGACCGCCCCCAGCCCCGATTATTCGAACGTTAGACGCCAGAATTATCCAAGATAACTGCGGTCGGGATAACTCTGGTTCGGGCCCCCGAGGCGCGAATCTGTAGCTACCCCTGACCACCCTCAGCCCTGACGAGTCGGAGATCTGAAGATCCACGGAGCGGGGAAAATACCCCTCCGAAACATTAAACCCGGGCCACCTCAATTGGCAACTGAGAGCGTCGATTTCGCATGGAAATAGGGCGCGTCGCTGATTCACGTGCCTGAGTCCACGGTTTCGCTCCCTCGAGAAAAGCTCGACACATACTGTTTGCTGCGGGAGTCCACCGCATTGCCGTCGCGAGCAGCAGGTGCTGGCGGAGGGAAGGGAGGTAAGGAAAGTGGAGCTGGAGGCGGATTGCGACGAGGGTGAGGACTGCGAAGAGGAGGAGGAGGAAAAGGGGAAGGGGAGGAGGCAGAGGAGGAAGAGGAGAAATGGGAAGAGGAGGACGAGGATGAGGAGGAGGAGGAAGAGGAGGAGGAGGAGCGGGATTAGCACGTTGAGGAGCATCGGACGGAACATGGGGATGAAGGGCGAGGAGGACGGGATAACAGGGACGAGGATGATAACAGGGATCGATCAGATGCCGAGGCGGTTCTGCAAGGTTCCTCAACGCTAGCAGGCTGCAAACCCAGAGGGCAGTCGACAAGGAATTCCAGGACTGAGCGGCACCTCAGGAGATGGGGGAGCAGGACAGCGATGTGAGAGGAACTGATAAACCCACCAGCCCTTTGGGCGCAGGTGGTTTACGGAGGTAGATCTTCCAACCTCCTTCTTCCCCTTCGGGGAAAAGCCCATCACTGCTCTGTATTACTAGGCACCCCCACCCCCTCCCGACCGGCGACAAACCCGGGACCATGAAGACACCCCCCACCATCCTTTGCACCGAACAATACGGAGTGCACTTTGCGGCTACATATGGATCATGTGTGGACGCACTGCGATCCTTTTGCATCGGTTTGGGACAAAGACGGCGGAGGGGCCCAGCGTATTGCCTGATGTGTGCAATGCCAACACCCCCACCATCCCTTGAAAAAAACCATACACACTGCACAGTGCGGATAAATTTGAATCATGCGTGGACGCCACGTGATCACTTTGCATTGGTTTTTGACGCGGCTGGCATGGGCGTCGCACAGGTGACTCACCAGCGGGCGGGTCACCTGAAAACGTGTTGAGGAAAACAGCGGTTGTTCTGGCAATTCTGGGCCTCAACATGAGTTGGTGCAGTCGTGCTTCATACGCTCTGCTTATGAAACACGCAACGCACAGGTGACCCACCTGTGGATGCGTCACCCGAAAATTGGTAGAGAAAAACCATGGTTGTTCTGGCATTCTGGGCCTCAACATGACTTGGTGCAATCGTGCTCCTTACGTTTCCCTTGTGTAGCGCGCGACGCACAGGTGACCCACCAGCGGGTGGGTCACCCGAGCGCTGGTTGTGACAACCCACTCGTGCCACTTGCATGCTGAACCTCAACATGAAATGGTGCAATCGTGCTCCATACGCTTCCCCTGTGTAGCGCGCATCGCACTAGGTGACCCGCCAGCGGGTGGGTCACCCGAAAACTGGTTGAGAAACACCAATGGTTTCACTTGCGTTCTGGGCCTCAACATGAAATGGTGCAGTCGTGCTCCGTACCATACGATTCCCCTGTGTAGCGCGCGACGCACAGTCGGCGCACCAGCGGGTGGGTCACCCGAAAACTGGTTGAGAAAAACCATGGTTTCACTTGCGCTCTGGGCCTCAACATGAGATGGTGCAGTCGAGCTCCGTACCCTTCGATTCCCCTGTGTAGCGCGCGACGCTCAGGCGACCCACCAGCGGGTGGGTCACCCGAGCGCTGATTGAAAAAAACAGTTGTGTCACTTGCGTTCTAGGACTCAACATGAGTTGGTTCAATCGTGCTCCATACGCTTCCCCTGTGTAGCGTGCAGCGCACAGGTGACCCACGTCCTCAAGGCAACGTCCCCCCGCGAAGGAAGAAAACGACCGAGGGCAGCGTCGGAAAAGGCGCGTCCTTCGTATGCGCGTTGACTGCACAATGAATGAAACCGGCGCTAAGGCGAAAGCCACATTTTGAAAACGGCCCGCCCTCAATCCGTGAAACTCTTGCAATGTTCTACAAAGAATGTACGCAGCGCTGAGGCGAGAACCACATTTTGAAAACGACCCGCCCTCAACCCGTGAAACTCCTCCAGAAGTTGAAAACGAATATGCGCGGCGCTGAAGCGAGAGCCACATTTTGGAAACGACCCGCCCTCCAAGGTCATAAATGGTGAAATCTCAGGCGAAACGCGCGGCCAGCCCTTTCGACCGGTCTCGGGGTGCGACAGGGAAGTTATTTGTAAGGACAAGGAATGGAGGAGGAGGAGGACGAGGAGAAGGAGGAGGAGGAGGACCAGTGTAAACCCAAGAGTCATCAACTCTGTTGGAATTAACCCTCCCTGCCAGCTCCCTCTCCGTAGGCCTCTACAACGGTTCATTTCCATTGAGGTGACTGCCTCGCTGGAAGACAACCGTTTCAAGACCTTGAAGCATGCCAGAACATTGTCCGCGGGATTCTACGCCACGGATCAACCTGACTGCTGCGTCCCGACGATCTGGAATCGTGCCAGAACGCCATTTTTTGGGACTTCAACACCGCGAATCAACATAACTGTTGCACCAGCATAATTTGGAATCCGTCCGAACACACAATTTCTGGTACGCTGATCATGGGAATCCGCAAAACGCTTGCAAATGTTTAAAACGAATGTGCGCGGCGCTAAGGCGAGAGCCACGTTTATGAAAAAGAGACGCCTTCAATCCGCGAAACCTTTGCAAACTTTTGGAACGAATGTGCGCGGCGCTGAGGCGAGAACCACATTTTGAAAACCACCCGCCCTCAATCCGTGAAGCTCTTACATTTTTTAATAACAGAAGAACAATGTGCGCGGCGCCAAGGCGAGAGCCACATTTTGAAAACCACCCGCCCTCAATCAGTGAAGCTCTTGTAAATGTTTAAAACGTATGCGCGCGCGCTAAGGCGAGAGCCACATTTTGAAAACCACCCGCCCTCCATCTGTGAAACCGTTGTCATTTGTTCAGCTTCAGAATCATAAATGGTGCGGGAGTCTCAGACGAAACGCCCGGCCCGCCCCCAGAAACTAGCCTCCGGATGCGACAGGGAGAAGTTACTTGTAAGGGCAAGGAATGGAGGAGGAGGAGGAGGAGGAGGAGGCGGAGAAGGCCGAGACGGAGACGTGAGATGACGAGGGGGAGGAGGGGCAGCGGGAGGAGTCGCGGAGGCGGCCTCGACGGGGCGCGCGCGCGCCGGCGCTGGCGGTGGCGGCGTTTGCACTCCCAGGGCGGCCCACGCCCAGGCCAGGTTGGCCAGGTTCAGCGGGTTCACCGCCTTCACTCCGCGCATCGCCTGCGCCGAGCGCTCGCGACGCATCGGCGCCGAGCGCTCGCGCCGCGAGAGCGGCGCCGCCGCTCCTGCACTCAGACAGAATGGGGAGGGCAGAGCACCAGATCGGGCCGGGGTGGTCCAGGATGTTTTCTCTCCTGGCAGCGAGCGCAGTGCCCGATGCGACTCGCCGTCTGCTGCGTGCCCCGCCTCGGGCGGGCACACCCTGCCCCCCAAGTGGGCGTAGATGGTCTCGGGAAATCTGAAATCCGGCGGGCCTGGGCGTCGCGGCCGTTCAAGAGCGCCTCGGAGCGCTCGGAGAGCGGTGCACCTTCAGCCTGGGCCTTCCTGGCCCTCGGAGAGCAGACCTGGGCACCGAACTTCGCGCTCCGCGCTGCGCGATCATGTTCGCGCTGGCGCGCGGTGCCCCTGCAGAGAGGCAGCTCTCTGGCCCAGACCGCGAGAGGCGTGGATGTTTTCGCGTCGCCGTGGGCGACCAGGATAGAGAAAGCCCCGAGAAAGCCGCAAATAATCTGGGCTTGGTCAGGCTGGCTCCAAGACGAACAATCAAGCCCGGACAAGACCAGACTAGAGAAAGGGGCGGCCTGGGTTTGGTCAGGGTGCTTCCTCGAGGGCACAATCCTTACCCGAACCTCGCTTGCCGAATGATGCTTGACATGCAGAAATACGCCGACCCTGTCGGCGTGTGCGAAGGGGTTCGTCTGTTCGAGTCGTCGTCCCCGTCAGTCGTCGTCTGCGTCGTCCCCCTTCCCTGCACCCTCCTCAAGCCTGTCAGCGAGAGAAACATCTCACAATGTCGTAATCGAATCGAAAGGAAGCCCCTTCCCTTTGATCCTTGCCCCGTCGGGGGTCGGGGGGGAGGTCCCGGGGGGGGGTCCAGATACGCATACCCCCCTGTGGGTCCTGGGGCTGCAAAAGGTACCAACACAAGCCAAGAGTGCCCCAAGAGGCCTCCGAGACGGTCCAAGAGGGCCCCCAATCGCCAAACGATCGGTCCAAAACGCCTCCATGCTCTGAGACTGCCCAGGAGACCTCCAAGACGCCCC